GCGGCCCTGGGCGCATTGGTAGGGCCGCTCCCCGGTGTGGGTGCGCTGGTGGCGGGTCCGCAGCGACCTCTGGCTGAAGGCCTTGCCGCACTCGCTGCATTTGTAGGGGCGCTCCCCGGTGTGGATGCGCTGGTGCTGGCTGAGGTTGGAGCCGCGGCTGAAGCTCTTCCCGCAGTCGGGGCATTTGTAGGGTCTCTCCCCGGTGTGGGTGCGCTGGTGGCGGGTCAGCAGCGAGCTCTGGCTGAAGGCCTTGCCGCACTCGCTGCATTTGTAGGGGCGCTCCCCGGTGTGGATGCGCTGGTGCCGGATGAGGTGGGAGCTCTGGTGGAAGCTCTTCCCGCACTCGGGGCATTTGTAGGGCTTCTCGCCCATGTGGGTTCGCTGGTGCACCAGGATCTCCTGCAGGGGGCTCTCGCACACTGTCTCCCAGTCGGGCCGGCCCTCCCCCTGCTTGGGGCTGCCGTAAGACTCCGTTCCTGCAGGCCCTTCCCGCTGGAGATTCTCCTCCGTCCTGGCACATGCTAGGAGACAGAGAATCCAGATAGGGCTCATTCCCTGGCCAAGGGAGACAGAAAACCTGACGGGCAGGAAGCTGAACCCCCCAACCCTTCACAAGGGAGAGGAGAGGCCACGTCTGCCCCAATGGCCCAGCTGCTGCAGGGGACCCACGACTGCTGTTCTGACAACTCACCGTGGGATCTGGTCTGCTCTGCTCTCCCCTAAGCAGGGTCTGGTCTGTTTGGCCGCCGGATGGGAGACCCATCCCCCCCACCCCCGGCCCAGTAGCTAGGTGATGCTACCCCCCAGAGATCCCAACCCCACAGGGTCTCTCCTCTCTGGCCTGTGTCCTGGGAAGTGATCCCAGCTGAACTGCAGCAAAGAGACCCTCCCTCTGGCAGGGCAGATCGCAGCTGTGCCCAGAGAGATGCCAGGGCAGGCACTGGCCTGGGGAGCTGGCGCTGCTCCCAGGCACCATTAGTGTCCATAAAGAAGGGGCATAGAATGTGAGTCACCACTGCCCCTCCCCCCCCCCCCCCCCGCCCCCCAATAACCACAGAGACGGGGCTTAGAGCACAAGTTTCCCTGGCCCGCCCATACCACAGAGACACGGCCTAGAACATACATCACCCTGCCCCCGCATCCCAATAACTATAGAGGTGGAGCCTAGAGGTCCCTACCCACCTGTATCCGTAGTGATGGGGGTCTAGCCCCTTCCACATCTCCCCATCCCATCTCTATGGAAACAGAATTGGGTGAGGGGGGGTGTTGCTCAGGAAGATGCTGCGGGGGAGATTTTAGGATCCGCAGTGGCCCTTGGGGTTCCCCAGCTGTCATGGGGGGAGCAGAAAGAGGCAGTGCTGAGCACTGGGGGAGCATCTGGCCCCACAGGGTGCAGGAGTTGGAGCCCAATTCCCCGCCATTGCTGGGCGTGTTCCTCATGGCTGTGGATGGGGTCACACAGTAACAGGAAGGGGGGAGTGGAAAACAGAACGGGGGGCGGGAGGGCTCCCAATGGCTTTGGTGGGAAACCAGCTTTTCCCTTCACTCCCAGTCCCTAAGCCCGTGTCATTCATTCCTCACCTGCGCGGACACCTCTCAGGATCTCCCTTTCCTCGGAGCCCTGGAGATCCGGGACCCTGGGCTCTTCCCCTCGCTCCAGCCGGGAGATCCCGGCCGGGTCGGGGAACCCTGGTGCAGGGCCAGGCATGATCCCAGTCATGTGGAGCGAGCTGCTGAATTCAAACACATTGTTAGGTTTCCCCTTCTCATTCTGGTGCCATCCACTGTTAGCGCCCCACTTCCAGAGGGCCCCTTAGCCAAGAGCTTAATTAACTAATCATGGCACCATCACTCAACACCCTCCAGCCCAATAGTTGGCATTGGGCCAATTTACAATCACAAGACTATGCTTACATGTATTAAGTGCCCAGAATGCACCATTAGTAGCAGAACTTCAGTTTTCACCAAGGGAAAAACATGTTTCTAGCTGTCATAGGTGCACAGAAAATATGGAGAACATGACCCAGCATCTGCCTGAGTCTGCAGAGAGCCTGAACTGATTACTCTGAGGCCTGGTCCACACGACACAGGTAGGCTGATGTAAGGCAGCTTACATCGACCTGGCTCTGTAAGCGTCTACACTAAAACGTAGCTCCCACCGATGTAACTCGCCCACTGCACCGACTTAATAACTCCACCTCCGCGAAGGCGTAGCGCTTAAGTCGATGTAGTTAGGTCAACACGGTGTCCGTGTAAAATCTCCGTTACTTACATCCACTGTTGCTGCCTGTCAGAAACCATCCCCCAATGCCCCCCACTGGTAGCTAATAAGCTCCTGGTGAGGATGCGTGCCACCGACACAAGGAGCGTAGTGTGGACGTGTAAAACCGATTCAATCTCTGCAATGGCTGTACTTAGATGGACTTAATATCATAGCGTAGACTTGCCCTGAAAGGCATGAATTGCCTCCACTCTTCTCAATGGGGGCATCGACTCTGAAACCTAATGATGACGTGTAACATGCCAAAGTTGTTGGGCTGCCCCTTCCAGCTCAGGCACTTCTCTCAAACCACCCCCTGGATGCTCAAACCTTCAGCCAGCCCCTACCCCGCTACCCCCAACACATGCCAATTCCAGGAGGCGAACACCACCAACACAGAAATCTCTGGGGCCCGGAGAACCAGGAGGGCGGGGGAGAAGATTAAACACCCAGACACCCCCCACACCCTGGACTCCTGGGTTCCATTTCTGCACCATTCAGTACAGGCCTTGGGGAGTTATTGAAACACAATACAATTTCCAGCTGGAATTAGGGCCACATGCCCGGGGGGCTTTGCAACCATCGCAGCGCTCTCTCCTCTGCTCCCGGGGACCCCTGTGGCCAGATCCCCCGGGCCTAGCATCATTCCCTTCCCCAGCCCCACCCCGCCGCTGCCCGGGGGCGGGGGATCTCTCCGGTCCCAGCCCCCTTCGGCTCCGATCCCCTCCTCACCGCGGCCGCTGCCTCCGGGCAGCGATTTCCTGCCTCGGCTGCTGTTCCTCGCCCCCGCTCAGCGCCCGGCCGGGGCGATCCCCTCCCGGGGCCGGGGCTGCAGCCGGAGACGCGGCCCCGCGGCAGCAGTGGCCGGCGGCGGGTCTCTTTGTGCGCTCCCCTCCCAGCTGCCAGGCGCACACACAACACAACACAAGCCGGGGGGATTGCTGGGAACAGGAAGGTCCCTGCCTTATTCCGTCCCCTCCTTGCAATAGTTCCTGATCTCGCCTAGGAATCGCCCCATGGGGAGGGGGTGCGATTGCCCCCAGCCCAGCTGAGAGGAGAGCCAGGGGCATTAACACGTGTCCTGAAACCCGGGGCTACTTGCACCCCCAGCCCCTACGCGCTGCAGGGTCACTGGATCTGGGTAGGAGCGGGGTGAGGGCGCAGGAGGGGGCCTCACAGTCCGAGCTGGCCCCAGTTCCGTGCTAAGGGGGCGCCGTGCCGAGCGGCGGGGAACGAGGGTGGGGGGCGCAGTAGGGGGCGCTCTCCCTTCACAGTCAGGGCTGGCCCCAAATGCGCCACTAGGGGGGGCTGTGTACTCGCTGCAGCAGCCCCTGGTGGCGGTCTGAGGCCTTGCATAAGCCTGGCCCCTGAAACCTGAGTCAATCCTGAAGTTTTCATCCATAGCCCCTGGGGGTTCATGGAACAGCAGAAACCAGCTGGAGACTAGGAGCAGAGCTTCAGCCACTCACCTTCTGTTGCTCAAGGGCTCCCCAGCTCTGGGTCTAGTGGGTTAGATCAGGAGGGCTGGGAGTCGAGACTCCTGGGTTCTTGGATGGCTGTATACTAATGCTAGAAGTAGGGAGAATAAACAGGCAGAACTAAAACTATTAGTGAATAATCACACTTAGGCCATCACTGACATCACAGTGACTTGGTGGGACAATTGACATGACTGGACTATTAGTATAGACGGGTCCAGCTTGTTCAGGAAGGACAGGTAGGGGAACAAAGGGAGGAGGGGTTGCCTTGAATATCCAAGATGTATACACTTACACGGAGATTGAACGAGAAGGGAGGCAGACTGCTGAAAAGCTCTGGGAAAGGATAAAGGGAGTAAAATATAAGGGTAAGGTCATGGTAGGGGTCTACGAGGGACCATCAATTGGTGGATGAGGGTTTTTTTAAACAACTAACAAAATCATCCCAAACACAAGCCTTAGGGCAAACGTCCACTTAAAACGCTGCACCGGTGTAGCACTTGAAGACACTCTAAGATGACAGGAAAGAGCTCTTCCTTCGGCGTAGTTATTCCACCTCCCCAAAAGGCGGTAACTATGTCGACGGGAGAAGCTCTCCTTCTGCCATAGTGCGGTGTAGACGGCGGGTTAGGTTGGTGTAACTACGTGGCTCAGAGGTGTGGATTTTTCACACCCCTGAGCGATGAAATTATACCGCTAGAAGTCTGTAGTGTAGACCAGACCTTAGTGGTGATGGGGGACTTCACCTACACAGACAGCTGTTGGGAAAGTACAGCAGGACACAGATTTTCCAACAAGTTCTTAGACTGCATTGGAGAAGACTTTTATTGCAGAAGGTGGAGAGAGCGACTAGAGGAGAGGCTGTCCTAGAGTGGATTCTGACAAACAGGGCAGAACTGGTTGAGAATTTGAAGGTGGAAGGCAGATTGGGTCAACGTGATCATGAAAAGATGGAGTTCATGGTTCTAAGGAATAGTAGGAGGGAAAACAGCAGAATAAAAAAAACAATGGACTTCAAGAAGGCGGGCGTTAGCAAACTCAGAGAAATGGCAGGTCAGAGCCCATGAGAAGCAAGTCTAAGGGAAACAAGTGCAGGGGAGTTGGCAGTTTTTTAAAGAGATATTATTAAGAGCAAACCATCCCCAGGCTAAGGAGAGAAGGAAGTATGGTAAGCGACCACCCTGGTTTAACCAGATCTTCGAAGACCTGAAACGCAACAAAGAGTCATACAAAAAGAGGAAACTAGGTCAATTTACGAAGGATGAGAGTATGTAGGGACTAAAGTGACAAAGGCCAAGGCACTAAACAGGATTCAATTAGCTAGGGCCATAAAGGGTAATAAGAAAACATTTTACAAATACATTAGAAACAAGAGGAAGCCCAAGGACAGGGTAGGCGCGTTACTCAATGAAGAGGGAAAGACAATAACAAAAAACCGCAGCAATGGCCAAAGGGTTAAATGCCCTTTTTGTTTCAGGTTTCACCAAACAGGTTAGCGGTGACTGGATGTCTAACGTAGTGAACATCAGTGTAAATGGGGTAGAATCTGTGCTAAAATAGGGAAAGAACAAGTTGGGAATTAAGTTAGATGTCTTCAGGTCAGCAGGGTCTGATGGAATCCGTCTAGAATACCTAAGGAACTGGCTGAAGAGATCTCTGAGCCGTTAGCAATTATCTCGGAGAACTCGTGGAGAATGGGAGAGAGACCCAAGGCCTGGAAAAGGGCAAATACAATCCCTATCTATAGCAAGGGGAATAAGGGCAACCCAGGGAATTATAGACCAGTCAGCTTAACTTCAGGACCCAGAAAGATAATGGAGCAAACACACACTCAATTTGTAAGCACCTAGAAGAAAATAAGGTAATAAGTAACAGTCAACATGAATTTGTCAAGAACAAACCATATCAAACCAACCTAATATCCTTCTCTGACAGGATAACGAGACTTGTGGATCGGGAGGGGAAAGCAGTAGATGTCACATATCTCAACTTTAGTACGGCTTTTGATACTGTCTTACATGAACGTCTCATAAGCAAACTAAGGAAATACAGCCTAGGTGAACCTACTATAAGGTGAACGCACAACTGGTTGGCAAACCAGACTCTGACTTGTTAAGGGCATATCAAGCGGGGTCCCACAGGGATGAGTTTTGGGTCCAGTTCTGTTCAATATCTTCATAAATGATTTGGACGATGGCATAGAGAGTACACTTATAAAGTTTGCAGATGATACCAAGATGGGAGGGGTTGCAAGCACTTGAGGATAAGATTAGAATTAAAAATGATCATGACAAACTGTAGAAATAAATAAATAAGATGAAATTCAGTAAGACAAATGCAAAGTACTCCACTTAGGAAGGAACAATCAGTTGCACCCATACAAAATGACTGCCTAGGAAGGAGTACTGCAGAAAGGGATCTGGGGGTCATAGTGGATCACAAGCTAAATATGAGTCGAAGAGTGTCACACTGTTGCAAAAAAAGCAAACATCGTTCTGGGATGTATTAGCAGGGATGTTGTAAGCAAGACACAAGAAGTAATTCTTCCACTCTACTCTGCGCTGATTAGGCTTCAACTGGAGTATTGTGTCCTGTTCTGGGCGCCACATTTCAGGATGGATGTGGATAAATTGGAGAGAGTCCAGAGGAGAGCAACAAAAATGATTAAAGGTCTAGAAAACAACTGAAAAAACTGAGTTTTTCTGGAGAAGAGAAGACTGAAGGGAACCATGACAACTGTCTTCAAGTATGTAAGAGGTTGTTACAAAGAGAAGGGTGACAAATTGTTCTCCTTATACACGAAGGACATGACAAGACTAATGGGCTTACATTGCAGCAAGGGAGACTTAGGTGAGATATTAGGAAAAACATCCTGTCAGGGTAGTTAAGCACTGGAACAGGTTACCAAGGGAGAGTGTGGAATCTCCGTCATTGGAGATTTTTCAGAATAGGCTGGACACACACCTGTCTGGAACGGTCTAGATAATACTTGAAAGTGCCTCAGTGCACGGGACTGGATGAGCTATCAAGTCCTACATTTTTATGATTCTATCCCCAGCTCTGGGAGGGGAATGAGGTTTAGTCAGCTGGGAGGAAGTCAAGAGTCCCAGGTTCTATCTATGGCTCTGGGAGGGGAGTGGGGCCTAGTGGATTGGGGGCTGGGACTCAACTCCGGGGTTCTCTGCCCCAGTTCTGAGAGGGGAGCAGGGCCACATGAATGGAGCAGCACCAGCCCAAGGACAGGGTCTCCACCCCAACCCCTCTCAGCCATCATGGCAGCGAAGAGGGTGATGGGATGCAGCATTCCCCTTAAATTTCACTGGCGGGATGAAGGCTCTGGGGTCATGGGACAACCCTTCCATCTTAGCAGCTCTTAACTCTCCAGTGCTGGGTGACAGGTTAGAAAAGGAGACACCCCTTTCCCATTCCCCCGGAGTATGAAAGCCATGAGCTGCCGCCTGGCAGTGCCCTGGCTGACCACACGCAAAAATTTTGCCAATATTTTAAAAGGGTAACCAGGATGACCTGGATAATCATAGGCCTGTCAGCCCGACCTCAATCCCACTGAAGATAATAGATCAGCTGTTGGGGGACTCCATTAATAAAGGAAAGCACTGTAATTAATATCAAGCAGCATGGGTTTATGAACAATAGATCCAGTCAAACTTTCGTAACTTTGGATGAGATGACAAGTGTGACTGACACAGGCAATAGTGTTGATATATTTAGACTTCGGTAAGGCCTTTGACTTGGTACCACATGATATCCTGATTAAAAAACTAGAACGCTATAAAATTAACATGACCCACCTTGAAGGGATTAAAAGCCAGCTAACTGGTAAGTCTCACAATGTAACAGTAAATGGGGAAACACCATTGAATGGATGTGTTTCCACTGGGTCCCGCAGGGATCAGTTTGTGGCCCTACATTATTTAACATTTTTGTCAGTGACCTGGAAGAAAACAAAATCATCACTGATGAAGTTTGCGGATGACACAAAAATTGAGTGGGAAATAATAAAGAGGACAGGTCACTGACAGAGCGACTGGGTCGGCTGGTAAATTGGACACAATGTGTGTTTTAATACAGCCAAGTGTAAATGTATAGGAACAAAGGACGGGGGCCGCGCTTACACAATGGGGGACTCTATCCTAGGAAGCAGGGACTGAGAAAGTTTTGGGGATCTTGGTGAATAATCAGCTGAACGGGAGCTCCCAGGATGACGCTGTGGCCAAAGGGCTAATGCAATCTTTGGGGGCGTAAACAAGGGAATCGCGAGTAGGCGCAGAGAGGTTATTTAACCTCTGTATTTGGCTCTGGTGCAACTGCTGCTGGAATCCTGTGGCCAGTTCTGGTGCCCAGAATTAAAGAAGGATGTTGAGAAATGGGAGATGGGTGAGAGAAGAGCCACGAGAATGATTAAAGGATTAGAAAACCTGCCTCCTAGCGACAGACTCAAGAGCTCGGTCTATTTCACTTAAGAGAAGGGTAAGGGGTGGACTTGATCCCAGTCTGTAAGTACCTCCACACGGGGAACAAATATTTAATCATGAGTTTTTCACTCTACCAGAGGAAGATCTAACACTGTCCAATGGCTGGAAGTTGAAGCTCAACAAACTCAGAGTGGAATAAAGGTGTGCATTTTAAACAGTGAGTAACTAACAATTTACCGAGGGGCCTAGCAGATTTCCCATCACTGACCATTTTTAAATCAAGATGAGATACTGTTCTAAGAGCTCTGCTCTAGGAATTATTTTGGGAAGTTCTCTGGCCTGTTATACAAGCAATGATTACAATGGTTCCTTCTGGCCTTAAGACCTATGAGTCGAAGGGTCTATCTACACTGCAGTTGAAAACGTGTGGTTGGCCCGTGCCAGTTGGCTCGGGCTGCAGGGCTGTTTAATTGTGGTGTAGATGTTCTGGCTTGGGCTGCAGCCCAAGCCCTGAGACCCTCCCACCTCACAGGGTCCTAGAGCAGAGGTGGGCAAACTACGGCACACGGGCCACATCCGGCCCATGGGACCGTCCTGCCCGGCCTGTGAGCTCCTGGCCGGGGAGGCTAGCCCCCGGCTCCTCCCCTGCTGTCCCCTCTCCCCCGCAGCCACGCCTTTGCCGAGCAGCGCGGCAGCGTGTCTGGCTCCGGTCAGGCAGCTGCCAGACATGCTGCTCTGAGCGGCATGGTAAGGGGGCCGGGGGGCTAGATAAGGGGCAGGGGGTGGTTGGATGGGGCAGATGTGCTGGGGGGGCGGTCAGGGTGTGGGGGTTGGATAAGCATGGGAGTCCCGAGGGGCCTTTCAAGGGGCGGGGGTGTGGTTAGGGGGTCAGAGCAGTCAGGAGACTGGGAGCAGGGGTGGAGGTGGGGTCTCGGGGGTGGTTAGGGGCAGGGAGTTCGGGAGGGGGCGGTTAGGGGACAAGGAGCAGAGGGGTTGGATGGGTCGGGGGTTCTGAGGGGGGCAGTCAGGGGGTGGGAAGTGGGAGAGGGCGGATGGGAGGCAGGGGCCAGGCTATTTGGGGAGGCACAGCCTTCCCTACCCTGCCCTCCATAGTTTTGCAACCGCAATGTGGCCCTCAGGCCAAAAAGTTTGCCCGCCCCTGTCCTAGAGCTTGGGCTCCAGACCAAGCCTGGAACTCTACGCTGCCATTAAACAGCCCACAGCCCGAGCCAGCTGGCACGCGCCAGCCGCAGGATTTTACCTGCAGTGTAAATGTACCGTGAAAGCCTCCTGTGTGACCCACAGCCCCGTGTTTGTGGTCCTCCCCCGTTCCCCTCCCTAAGCACCGATAGAGACGCTCCCAGGCTGGAGGATCTGGCCCCGGTGGGACTCTCCAATTTTTATTTCCCACATAACCAAACATAGTATTTAAAAATAAAATAAAATCCAAATAGAATGAACAGTCCGTCCCCCCCACCCCCCACCCCCTCCGTGCTGCCCTCCCCCCACAGTCAGATGCTGCCCTGAGACCCTTCACCCCCAAGGGCATCCTCTCGGCCCAACGGGGCTCTCACCGGGGTTCAAATATTAGAGGGAGGAGACCAGCCCCCTGCAGAACCCAGAGTGAGCACGGAGCAGAGCCTGGGGGAGGAGCAGATCCTCAGGGGATCAGGCATCACTTGGGTGGGATGCACAGGGATGGGTCAAGTGAATCCTGGCAGCACCTGCTGAGCGGATTGCAGAGGGCAGGAGGGAGGGGACCGCCCTGTGGCTGCTGGAGGGGGAGCTGTGGAACGGAGGGCTAGGGGATGGGCTGGGAAGGGGGACTGCAGGCGCTCAGCTGATGTAGATTCGGTGGAAGTCGTTGGCGCCGAAGGCAGCGTTGCACTTGGGGCACTTGCGCTGCCGGGTGTCGTAGCGCGTCTTGACGCAGTCAAAGCAGAAGACGTGGAAGCACTTGGTGAGCACCGCGTCCTTCTTGCGTGTGTTGCAGCAGGGACAAGTCAGCTTGGCCTAGGGGGCAGGGAGGGCACAGACCCTGTTAGTGGGGGGGCTGGGTCCCTTCCCCCCACCCGCAGAGCCTGAGCACAGCCCCCTCCCCTAGCTTTGCCCCTCCCACCCCAATGCCAGGCTTCCCCCTCCTCCCCCAGTTGCCCACTGCTCACCTTGTACTCCTTGATCTCCTCCTGCAGTATCTCGTCAGCGTCGGCGTACACCTCCACCTTCTTCTGCTTCTCCAGCTTGCGCCGCAGCCGGGAGATGTCCTCCTGGGGTGCAGGGAAGATCCAGTCAGCAAGAGGGCCCAGGCCCTCCACTGCCCCTCCCCGCAGTATGACCCACAGGCTCCTGCCCCCTACCTGGGCCCTCTTGAGGTTGAAGGACTCCTTCTCCTTGGCAGCGCGGTTCTCGGCCATGCAGGCCTGGATCTCCTTCAGCTTGCACTGAACGTGCTCCTGCTGCACCTTCAGGTCCTCGGCCAGCTGAGCCGCTTCCACCGCCTGTGGGAGGAGGGAATGTCAATCATTGTGAGCTTCCCCCTGAGCAGTGCCTGAGAACTGATACATACAAATGATGTAATGGAAACAAACAAAGGAAACTGATTCTCTTTTACACAAAGGCCATTTTACATCATTCAGTGTAAAATGGGTGTCAAATTAAATTACATTAAAAGTGGTGTAAGTTAAATTATATTTATCTCCACTGTAATGCCCCTTTACACTTCCAAAGTAGTTAAAAGGGTCTAGTATAAATGACAGTCAGATCCAGAGTGATCCTATTCACGGTGAAAATGGTAAGGTGGGTTGGAATCTTGTACGGTGTTCCAGTAGGCTGCAGGGTTGGGGTCTAACAGTCTAATGTGGCCAGCATAAAATCAAATTAAGAAGAGAAGGGGAAGTGGAAAGAAAGAGAGAAAAAAAAAGAAAAACAGACAATAACTAATTAAATCTATTCAAATTAGATCTAAAAGCTAGGACAGAAGTGTAATGATCTCTGATTCCTTTAAGAAAAGCTACAGCATGTGCAGTGAAACACCTTAGAAAGATTCCCCACAATCACAAGCACCAACTTTCTCCGGCGTCGGTGGGTGCTTGTGCCCCCTCCCCAACCCTCGCCCTGCCCCGACTGCACCCTTTCCCCGCCCATGGCCCCGCCTCCATTCCAACCCCTTCCCCAAAGTCCCCACCCCAACTCCGCCCCCTCCCTGTCCCTATTGGATCCCTTCCCCAAATCCCCGCCCCGCATCTTCCCCCAGTGCGCCGCGTTCCCCCTCCTCCCTGCCCCACGAAACAGCTGCTTCGCGGCGCAAGCGCTGGGAGGGAGGGGGGAGAAGCAGGACGCAGCGAAGCGCTCGTGGAGGAGGCGGAGGTGAGCTGGAGCAGGAGGGTGGGGTGGGGCCACGGGGAGCTGCTGGTGGGTGCTCAGCACCCACTAATTTTTCTCCGTGGGGAGTCGGCGCCTATGCTCCCCCTGGGGAACAGCCCACAGCACTGCCAGTTTCCCCCCCACAGTAGTGCTCCAGCCACAGAACCCATCCCGAAGCTGTGGGCTTCTCTCCAGCAGCATCCCCAACAAACATGGGGATATTTGTCATATTTTTATAACCGTGTGTGACTCAGTTTCCCCACCCGCTGAGCGGAACCAGGCAGGGGACTCCTAGGGGAGAGGGGAATGAGGCCTGGCCAAGCATCTGGGATGAGATCAGGTACACTGGGATCCACACCTATGAACAGGAGGGACTCTTGAGTGGGAGAAGGCTGGGCTGAGGCAGCAGAGTGAAGATCTGGGCTCACACACATACACACAGAGCTCAAGGAGACGGACGATGGGTGTCCAGCTAGGAGGGACGCTGACTGGAGGGTGGCTCTCCTGCGTGGACCCCAACCCTCTCTGACGCCGGGTCCCAGCTGACCAACGGGTGCTAAATTGGCTGCAACAGGCCGCATGGCTCTCGAGAGGGCAAAGGGCTCGGAGCAGGCGCCTGACCTCAGGCAGACCTGCTGTAGGAAGAAGAGGGAGTGCCGGAGCCCTTAGGCCCAGCCCTGGAGAGCTGTGGAGCTCCCCCTAGGAAAATGCCAACTTCAAGGCTTAGCCAAGAAATAAGGGTTCTCCTGTGGACTAGCCCTGTGTATCCAAAGGAGCCGCTCCCGCCATGGATGCCCCTCATCAACCCTCCCACCCAGGTCCCCAGCCCTGCCCCATAACTCACCTTCCTCTTGTTGAGTTCGAGGGCCTGGCTACGAAGGGTCAGCTCCTTCTCCACCGTGCCCAGGTTCCCCTGCAACACCCGCTCCTTCTCCTCCAGCTTCTGCACCACCAGCAGCTGGGCGTCCACCTGCAACGCGGCCTGGTCAGGAGAGCACCGCCTGCCGACTCGCAGCCAGCCAGCTGCCCCCGCCCCCTGCCTGCCAGGGGAGAGCACCCCCTAATGAACCCCACCCAACTGCACAGGCCCAACCTGCTGAACCCCCATCCTGCTCTGTGCAACCCAGAGCCCCCTAGTGCCGCACTGAGGCACACACTGCCTGTGAGGGGAGAGTGCCCCCTACTGAGCTAGGGTTGCCAACACTCCCGGTTTTGCCGGGAGTCCCCCGGAATCAGGGCTCTATCTCTGGAGGCTACTGAAGCCAAACAGGGAGATTTTAGGCCGTTAAAGGTCCAGCAGGGCTAAGGAAGGCTCCCTGTCTGCCTTGGCCCCGCCCTGCTCCCAGAAGCAGCCGGCATGTCCCCGCGGCCCCTAGAGCGGGGAGAGCAGGGGGTCTCCGTGCGCTGCCCCTGCCCCGAGCGCCAACTCCACAGCTCCCATTGGCCGGGAACTGCGACCAATGGGAGCTGCATGGGCTGTGCCTGCAGGCAGGGGCAGAGGATAGAGCCCCCTGGTGCCCCCCCGCAGGGGCCACAGAGACATGCCGGCTGCTTCCGGGAGTGGCATAGGGACAGGGCAGGCAGGGAGCCTGCCTTAGCCCCGCTGCACTGCCCACTGGGAGCTGCCCAAGGTAAGTGCTGCCCTGCCGGAGCCCACACCCCCTCCTGCACCCCAAGCCCCTGCCCCAGCCCTGAGCCCCTCCCAGAGCCAGCACCCCACACCCCCTCCTGCACCCCAACCCCCTGCCCAAGCCCCTGCATCCAAACTCCCTCCCAGAGCCTGCACCCCTCACCCCCTCCCACACCCCAATCCCCTGCCCCAGCCCTGAGCCCCCTCCCGCACCCCAAGCCTCTGGCCCAGCTCTGAGCCCCTTCCAGCAGCCAAAATCCCTCTCAGAGCTTGCTCCCCGCAGCCCCTCTTGCACCTCAACCCCCTGCCTCAGACTCAGCCCGGAGCCCCCTCCCACACTGCAAATCCTTGGCCCCAGCCCAGAGCCAGCACACCCCAGCCCCCCCCCCGCCCCCCCATGCACTCTAACCCCCTGTCCCAGCCCGGTGAAAATGAGAGAGGGTGGGGGAGAGGGGACGGAGTGAGCAGGGTGGGGCCTCGGAGAAGGGGCAGGGCAGGGGTGTTGGGGTTTGTGTGATTAAACAGTTGGCAACCCTACTCCTGAGCCCCCATCCCATTCCCTGCAGCGCCCCCTACCTGTGACTTGAGGGCCAGCACCTGATCCGCCAGCTCGTCCTTCTCCTCACGCAGCAGCTTGTGGATCTGGTTGGACTTGATCCGCTCGGACATGAGCTTGAAGTTGGCATCGTCCTTCTCACGCAGCTGCTGCATGAGGCGCATGTTCTGCTCCTGCATGTCCTCGAAGGCCTGGCCCGTCACGTCCATCTCCGACAGCAGGGCCTCCTCCTCCTGCGGCGGGGCATGAGGTCAGGGGGGCTGGACCCTTTCTGCCACATTGCCCAGTGCCACCCCCGGAGCCTTCCCCAATCCTGCCAGATCTCCCCTTCCCACCCATTCAGGGGAACCTCCCGCCACTAACCACCCCCACCCCCACGCCCTCATCCCGGTACCTGCTTGGTAGCAGCCAGTTTCTTCTGCAGGTGCTCAATCTGCTCCTCCGCCAGCTTGATCTTGCGCAGGGCGTCCTCGTCCGCCATCTTCTTGCTCTCCTTCTTCTCCTTCTCCTCCAGCTCCCGCACCCGCCCTCGCAGCTCCTCCACCTGCAGGGGGCAGAGAGACGGGGGTCACAGCCCCATAACCACCCCCCCAGCTCCTCCACCTGCAAGGGGCAGAGAGACGAGGGTCACAACCCCATAACCACTCCCCAGCTCCTCCACCTGCAGGGGGCAGAGAGACGGGGGTCACAGCCCCATAACCACCCCCCCCAGCTCCTCCACCTGCAGGGGGCAGAGAGACGGGGGTCACAGCCCCATAACCACCCCCCCCAGCTCCTCCACCTGCAGGGGGCAGAG